AAGAGCAGGACATTCCTTTAAACCTGCATCTGATCACTCTTCCTCTGGAGTGAATTTCAGCAACTTTTTTGTGCACGCTGGTGCACACTGTTTTCACTGAGGCCTGACTAGTTACACATCAAAGACTGTCACACAGTGTGGAGAATAAAACTTCTAAAGAAAGCAGTAAAAAAGTGGTTCAAAAACTTCTAAACCCACTACAGAAGGAAACGCAGAGATTGGTGCTGATGACCTACATGCTGAGTCTAATCAAACAGCAAAGATACAAGCTGTTCTGTTGTCTTTTCCCTGATTTCTGAAGTGCTCTTGCGGGAACACCACCATCAGTCGTGCAGTGGTCATGACGTTTCTCCTGCTAAACACCACGGTACTGAAAGTCTCTGCTTCAGCGCGACCGACGCTGACGCTCTCAGGCAGGAAGACTCACCAGGAAGACTAGGCAGTGCAGGAAGACGGTGTAGAAGAAGGCGATGGTGCGGGCCGTCTTGCTCGACAGAATCGCGCGTCCCTGAAACACACAGCCCAGCATCAGGCAGCGCGGACGACAGAATCACTGAATCATTCTCCCAGCCTGTCTCCTCCCCCCCAAAAAGCCAGTACGGGTGTCAGAGCTCACAGCACAGGGCACAGGGGCACACAGATGCACTCCGAAACTGGAGTCAAATGGATTTCAGTCTATGAAAAAAGGTCAAGGTTCTACAGTAAATACGTAAAAACAGGATTGAAGAAGCTGTAGTAAAATATCAGGATGTATATAACTCTATAGTTCTATGACTCCAAAGTCTGTAGTTTGTCTTTAGTACAGCATGAGTCCAGGAACACTAGAGGTGAACACAGGAAAGAAAAGTCTCCCCAGCTTGAACCCGCACAGATGGAGAGCACTGTGCCCCCAGCATGCTCCAGCACAGGAGAACTCACCAGGCCCAGAGTGGCCTTGTCCCAGGGGCTGAGGCTCAGGTACCGGCGCTGGCGCTCCTGTCAGACACACAGACAAGCAACGTTAACCAAATCCATCTGATCGAGCCCCAGTCATCCTGAGGGTCCCGGCAGGGTTTTCAGGAGACCCGTGGGGCAGACAGAGGGCATCGCTACATCTGCCTGCAACCTCACCCTCTTGCTGAAGGAGGAGAAGGGGTCCAGCCTCTCTTCGTACTGGGAGGAGTAGCGCATCACCGTGTCATCGCTGGCGCCAGCCTGGAGGAGAGGGCAGAAGCTCTGTCACACTTCACAGCACTAAAACACAATCACAGCACTAAAACACAACTGTGTTCAAAACACAACCCTAAGCAGCATCCTTGAGCAGCGTTTCCGGGAGGAAGATCTGATCGGACGCTCTTTGTGTCTGACGCACCCTTCCTGGGTAGCTCTGCAGGAACCTGATCTTCTCGTACAGCTTGATGTTGTCGGCGCGCAGGCTGTCCAGCTCGGTCTGCAGGGCGTGCAGGGTCTGCTGCAGGGTGCGGCTCTCCTAGACACAGGAGGGGTGTGAAGACGACAGGAAGTAAGAGGCATGACAAACGGCCCCTAGTTATAAAGCAGTATTCCACTGTATTTATATGGATTCACAAATCCGATCATGTCTTTGTTCTTTCAAATAGAAGATCAGTCTTTTACATACTGATTACATTACAAATAAGGCTGAGAAATAATTTCAGCTGGGACCCACACAAAACACAAACAACACAACCTCGCTCGCTGACACACACAAACAACACTACTTGACATACAAACACAACACAAGTTACACATAAGGCTCACACACTCACCGTCTCCAGCTCCTGATTCCGGGTGCGGAACCTCTCCCTCTGGCTGGAGATGATGGACAGGAGGGAGTCCATCTGGCCCTGGGGCAGCTCAGCCTGGGGAAGAACCCCCACACCTGCACAGAGGACACAGGGCATCACTGAAGGGCTGGACATTCGCCCACATTCAACTTTCTGAGCCCACTGCTTCCCAAACCTGTCGCTAGATCCGCCCAGCGTCGTCGCGTTCATGACATAACCAGACCTGAGCCATCACATCTGCACTACTGTGCCTTATACAGCACCACTGTACCTTATACAGCACACCTGCTGCACCACTGTACCTTATACAGCACACCTGCTGCACTGCTGTTCCTTATAAAACACACCTGTTGCACTACTGTTCCTTATACAGCACACCTGCTGTACTACTATACCTTATAAAACACACCTGCTGCACCACTGTACCTTATAAAACACACCTGCTGCACTACTATACCTTATAAAACACACCTGCTGCACTACTATACCTTATAAAACACACCTGCTGCATTACTGTACCTTATACAGCACC